ATAAATAAATACTTTTCAAAAAAATTCAAAATTCACCTCTTCCTTTGAACACACCTCGTATTTAGGTTCTTAGGCTTCCTGGCGATGAGTTCGAGACTAGGAAAGGGATTGTCTCCATATCTCTGGCATCGAGTAACTTCATGATTCGATTGGTGTAGGTGCCTGACCACAGAGGTATTGCAGGAACCTGCAATGCAGATGGCCTTGTTAGGTCAGGTACTCGTATGACAACGAGTAGTAGTTCCCCTGGCTTCTTGCGGTTGACTATTGGATGGTTGAACCTCAGACGATAGAAGATAGATATAGAAGTGCGCCCTTCCTGATTATTGTTCGATCATATAAGCTGTTTGGAAGAGGATGAGATAGAATCATATGTTCCTTCTAGAATGACCCGTCTTTGCCAGATCAAGGCTAGAATACCTCAAACCTTATATATTTAGACATTCAGGTGTATTTGTGATAGGTTCCATGTTCTTTTTCGGAAGTTAATGGCTTCACAAAGCTAATCTTTATGTTATTCAGATGGAATTTAAAGTTCCAATCTTGCACATATGAGAATAGTAAAATTCGTTCTAAAAATAATTTTTCTGACAGTTAAGTTTGTACTATTTTTATTTGCAAGGGTTGTTTTCAGAAATAATAAGTAAGAATTTAACAATAGTTATTTGGGAAAGTGTTAAACTATAAAACCCAGTTTTGAAAACACATAGCTTATTTAAGAGTTCACGCACCTAGTTAGTTTCATTAAGATATCTTGCATAATATCTTATACCGTTAACAATTCTCATAAAATGTAGGATATATAAAGTAAAACGACAATCTTATTGTCGAAAATCATTACAGTAAAAATGTACATGGGGCCTGGGGAAACATATGCAACGATTTCATACATCTTTATGCATTCAGCATTATGTACTACAGCATAAATTATTAAATAAAAATTATTTTGAGTGTAAATTGGTCTAGAAACACCCAATGGTGCAGCGCGCGATATACGGAAACTACATATACCATATACTTCCAAGTTCATTGCATGCGCCAACCTTAAAGACAGCTATAACGCAGCTGGAGAACAATCGTTTACTTTGTCTGCAGCCATAAACACTCTTGTGATGAACATTATAGCAACCTTGTGTTAACCGATCAATAAACGAATCCAGTATTCTTGGGCAGAATAGTGTAGGGCCAGGCGGATTTCTCTGGTGGATATTGATGTGCGAGTGTTTGGATCACAAGCGTATAGGTATATTAGAAATATGTAGTCAAAATTACAACTCCGTGTTCTCCTAGAAATGTGCTTAGCTGCAAGTGGTCGCATGTGTCGATATAAGCATTTAGGGAGAAAACAAAGTTTAAAATTTTATTACCTCATCGCGTTTTGGTGACGCTCAAAGATTACTTTAGCCTTTGCCGTCACTATGATATACAGTTACTGGCTCTCCTACTGCTGGCGTTAAGTTAGCGTTTGAATATTCATTATTAAATTCATAAATATTGTATTAATCGTGGCGTCATATGCCATATGGGGCGGCTGCAACTGTATAAGTAGCCTGCATATGGCTATGAATATTTATATTAGAGCGCTTGATCGAATTTATGGTATTTAAATTTTCTAGCCGCTCACAGCTTGGTCATTTGCTGGTACACTTTTTATACTTTTATTGTCTTTTGTGTTGTTACTTCCAAATTATGCCGTTTAGCTGAACGAAATTAGCGCTATAAAAGCAACAAAACCAAAAGCAACAATTGGAACAAAATCAAAAAGTATATAGGTATCCATAGTTAGTAACATTATGACCAAGCAACTTGAGCTAAAACAACTGTTGCTCACAGGAACGCCTAGCTTTTGTACCAAACTGCATACAAACACTGACACACATATGTACCTATATATGTATGTATGTATAAACTGACGCATACAGAATCAGTGCGCTTGTGACATATGCAAATTTAACAGCAGGCCCACATGCGCGCTTGCACAGTCACCAGGTTATGGCGTATGTGCGCCGCATGCACCTCATCCATTTGTCGCCTGTACCACCAGGGCTCTCAGTAGTGGGCTGCTAACTGCTAACCGAAAGTCGAAATTTATTTGACATGTTGTTATTTAAGAAGAAATGTTGATCTCAAATTTGTAACGCACACTAAATATCCAACTCGAATTGGTGTTTTGAAATTAACAAATTTAATGCTGCTCCTACATACATTCCTACTCGTATGTAGATACGCATATGTGTGGCGTCGTGCTAACATATCATCGATTTGCTATGGTAGGCGAGGGCAAGGGGTTGTGGCCAGCACATTTTCGGAGGCGTTGACATGCCCATTTACAGAGAGAAATCTTTGTGAGCGTAACAGCTTTTGATCTGCTTTTTTTATTTCGTCTTATGTTGTTTGGTTAATAAATAAATTATGTATTTAATGTTTATTTATTATTAATGAAAATATGGCGACGTGGCGGCCATATTAAAAATTTGAAAAAAATTAACTTTATACTTGGACTCATAGAAATGTATTTTTTCTGATTTTAAATATTTTTAATTTACTCCTTATTAAAATATGGAAAGCTTTTCTACTACATATTAGTTTGAAAGCTTTAAACTTTCTGCTTTCAGTTAAGTGAAAGTCTATTAAAGCCCTCTATCATAATATCACTACTAAGTTTTGACCTAATATCACCCTCTAAATGGTTTTGTGTCACAGAATGGTATTGTAATGTAACAAATAATGATTTTAAAATGCATTTGGATGAGCTTTTCCAACATCATGCCATCCACTAAACTCAGTGCTATTTAATAAAATAATACAATATAATTTATTATATTGCTCATAAGCTTGCTGTGAAGTGATCTAATGGTTGCAAATCACCGACTTGCATTGCCCTTTTTCAAGTTTTTATAAAATCCGCGTATAAAGCCACATCCTCACGCGGTCGAAGTAAATTGCTGGTCTGGTTTGGCAGCAAATTCAACAGTATGTTTCCTCAAGTCTCAAAATAAGCTCAATATATTCTTGTAAGACATAAATGAACGTCAATTTAGCTTCTGCAGCTAAGAGATGTAAATGAACACAAAATAAACGTTCTCAAAGAGAACAAATAAAGTGGAAACCTTCCAGATTCTTTAAAAATTATTGAAAAATTCTTTTCAGTATAAAATTCAAGGACTTTACCGAAAAACGAATACCTAGTATATTATATATTGAGATAAAATACTTACAGGAAAAGTAAAGCGAACGATATATATTCTTAATAAGATCCCTAAACTATATAATAACAAATATTTTTTGCTATGCATGAACCAGAGAATATTTCAGAAATATTTATTCGTATAGAAAATTCTATATTTGACTTTTGGCGCTGGCGCCAATTATCATTGAAACTCCATTTGGAAACCAACAACAGATGGAAAATATATGCTTATCACTAAGTCATTCTTTGTCACAAAAAAAAAATAATACTAATAATTACCTTTGCACAAAACATCTTAAAATCTGCGCATTGTTAGGCACAAAAACAAACGCCTTCTTGGTGGAGACAATTGCCAATATGCTGCGCGTGCCATCGACGATCATACGAATGCAATGACAGTTACACATTTTCACACTCAACAACAGCTTGTCCAGATGTCCTTTCCTCTTTCGCATGGTTAGGAGACCACAGCGCATATATACGGTTAATAAACCGATTTTCAAACAAAGGACAACAAACTTATTTCGTAATTGAGGCAAAGGCAACTGCACTCGAAATGCGGCAAACAAAACACGTACACACACAGGCATGCACAATAAGGCATGGCAAATGGTCAAGCAATGAGGTAAAGAGCAGCCGTCAGCCAACAATCGGCTTTACACCGCACGGATACTCAATACTGATTTTCTAATTTTCAACAGATTTTTGAAGACTGCTTTTGTTTTACTTTTGTTGTTGCACATATATGTATTTGCCATGCATGCACAAAAAACCAGTGTGACAAAAGCATAAAGGAGCACTCGAACGCATAAAGACGGGCATGTAGATATGTTTGTGTTATCCTGCAAAGCGCATCAGCAAAAGAATGAAAAGAAAAACAAACATCTTGTCTCGAGTCAATTGGCAGTATCGATAAGCGGCAAGAAAAATCACACCTTTCTTACGGTGGCTGTCAATATGACTGCAGCGTGTGATCGGTCAGCGAGGATGCTTGGTTGGTTAGTTGGTTGCGCATGCGCATGCGCCTTCAATTTGTGCACTATGCGGCAGCTAAAATAAATATGTATAATAAGTAAATATTGGTAGGAATAAAAATACATACCAACAACAACATAAGTCATAAAAGAAAAAAAATTTAACAAAAATTTCAAGCGCACAGATGTACGGCGTGAGCTATGAACGGCTGACTGGCTGTATGCTTGGTTTGCCGCCGGCGCACCAGGGCGCATCTTCAAAGTCAGCATGATTTTTAGCAGGTAATTGTGAAATTTCCACAAAAATCTAATGAAACCCAGAAAAAATGCGTGTTGCAGTGTCGAGGGGTTAGGAGGGAAGAGTAGTAAGTTGTGAAACTGCAAAACACGTGACGGAACAACGGTGACAATAACAATAGATTTACAAAAGCAATGCTAACCAAAATCAAACCCACCGCAAAGCCTTGTAAATATAGAGGCACACACACACAAGCAGTACGGCAATAATTCACACTCTCACCCAATGTGACCCGAGTGCGTGCGTGTGTATGTATGTTAGCTAACAAAGGACTTTTGAAGTGGCCTTTTGTGTGTGCAACAAATTCATGCTACAAATACAGGCAGATATACGTTTGTGCGCTTGGGCGATAGTGCGTGTATATGTGCTGTGCGTATTGAAGCATGAAAATCCGCAAAATAGCCTTTAAAGATACTTAGATGGGATACAAATGATGCATGCGTTGCGAGAAAGTCATCGACATGACAACAAAAAAAAATACACACTCTCAAATATACATTTATAGATGTAAAAGAGATTTTGCAAGAAATATACTTACATTCAACCCAAATCTGTTTTGCCGTCCCCCTTCTTCTACAAATCGATTGAGTCGAGTGCGTGCAAATCTGTATGTGCCAACGAGGCCCACAAATCATTAGACGACTGCAAATGTGTTTGTCTACATGCATAAATACATACACACATACATACATGTACGCATCAGGGTAGCCCATTTTGATAGTTGAATTGTTGGAAATTCCAATGTATTGAAAATTATGAGTCGTAAAAACGATATTTTTACTTAAATTTTTAAAAATGATATTAGAAAATTTTGAAGTACTTGAAGAATATTATTAGAATCTCAGAAACTATATTGTGTACGCAAAAATTTCTCACACAAACTTTTGGAAATTAAAAAAAAATCTATTTTTTTAAGTGAAATTTTTGGACAAATAATTATTTTCTCCGAAATTCACATTCTATTCTGGCATCTTAAACTAAGTAAACTAACAGTTCATATTTTCTAAATATGGTGTAAATATTTTTTGGTGTGTATGGTTTAATACAAATTCCTATATATGTACATATATATTTATGTATATACATGTATACGCACATTTAATTGTGCACATTATTTTAAGTTACAATTCAACAATTCGCATGCTCTAACCAAACCAAGGTTGACCATTCAACACACACATACATACTTCAAGTATGCAGTGCAAACGAATCGGCAATACGCTTTAGCCCAAAAACTTCTTATAACTTTTCATGCAGAGTTACCATTAAAGAGGTCTATGAGTATGTGCAAGTAAATTTCTGAAATGGCTGTTAGTTTTATTTGACTATAAAATATCATTGAAATTGATGTCATGTTACATTGGCTGATAACACAAAAGTTGAATCGCCATATTTACGCCAAAATTAGGGGTGAGTTTGAATGGCGATTGTGATCAAAGTCGTTTTTGAGAGGAGGCTTGAGCGCAGCGGTAATTGGCAGTTGTGATGGCGCCTGAGTGTCCCTACATATTTACGTACAACGATAGTTAGAACTCTTGATATGCTATTTACCCATACTTATTCAAAAGTGTATGTGGATATTTTCGCATGAAATAAACGTTTATAAAACGTTAGACTTTTTGGATTTGCAGTTGTGCATTTAGATGTTTGTTTAGCGATTTTAATATTTTTAGGATATTTCTATAGAATAAAATTATGAATTAGTAACAAATATGTGTGGTAAATTGTATTTAACAAGCAAACTTGTAATTTAAATTTTAGGTATTTAATTAATTTTTGTTTATATATTGTTAATTTTTAACTTGATTGAGCTATTACAAACAACTTATCTTAATTCACTAAAAAAAAAAGTATTCTTACATGCGATAAAAATGAATGCTACATTCGGTATATTTTAAAATATTTGAAAGTGTACATTTTGAATTTTTTTTGAAAGTTTGTTATATAAAATAACTTTTGACCATGACGATGTAAATTTATATTTACTTTATATGGTATTTTATTCGCCTGTGATCTTGTCGCCATGATGTGATGTTATATTATATATACGACGCTTAATTGCTGTATTTGATGTGTAAAGAACAAGAGAAAATAGCTTTCAACTAATGCCTCTAATGCAATTATTTATAATGTAAGAGCCCTTTCTTTTCTCGATGAACATTTTGCTTCATTATATGGCAACAATATGTATATCAATGTTCCGTTTTTTACATGACAAAAGAACAAAGAATTGTCAACCAACTCATTCGCAATATCTATTATTGAGCTTAACAAAATTAACCGATTCCGTATAATTAGTAGCAAAACTTTATTTTAATAAAATAACTATCAAAAACGAAAAATAATCATCGTCTGATCAACTCAAGATTCTAAGAAAAATTCAATCAATTTTGACAGCCAGGGCATAAGCAAATATATTTGCAAAATAAATGCAACATTTTTATGAGAAAAAAAAATGTTATAATATAGTTCTAGTAGTGATGTGATGTTATGATCACGTGATGTGTTGATAAGATCATGCGATGTTATTTGCTTAATGCTGCTTATGCTGTGAATACACAGATTAAGACCTTTGCTAACTGGCTTAACTTTTGGAGCTGTACGTTGCACACCATATGTGAAGTTTCAAAAAAAATCAAATTTTTTGTTCTTGCATATATTGAGACTATCGACAACCTTCGAAAATAGCATACTAAAATTTTAAATTAATATTTGAAAAAAGTTTCGAGTTGCAGCCATCAATAATCAATTTATGCAAACAATTTTTATTTACTCTTAAAGTATGTATAAATAGATCCTTAAAATTTAAAAGGATTGATACAGTAGTATATTTTTTGTGTACAAACCTTTGTTTCAGAAATATTTTTTAAATTTAATTAAAAAAGTATTAACAGAATTAAATGTGTGTTACAACTGCCATCAACAATCTATTTAATTGTCGTCATCATAAATGAAGTTATTTATGTGTCAATTAGCAAACGGGAAGGGGGTAACTCACAAGCTTATACATACATATGTATGTGTGGGTTTTGTTTACAACATATTGCATTATGGGTAACAGTTGCATTGGTGATTTTGAACAATTGTAGAAGAGAGAATTACGCAACATGCCCAAAAAAATTAACTTGCATATAAAACTTCATTACTATTGATTAAAAAATTTAAAAATGTGAATTTAATGAGGTTTACAAATTGATGTGAGGCTTTATATAGGAAACGAAATTTTTTCAAGTCGAAAATTTACAGCAAATATAATGGTACCTCCGTTGGAGATTACTTTGGTATTTCAAATATTATTCAATTATTAAAAAACGTTAATAGGAAGTAATTTTAAAGCGCTTATTGAATTTCATAAAAAATATTAATTACTTTCATATACAATACAATAGTTTTTTCAGTAGCTGAAAAGTTTTTAGGAATTTACACTCAACAACTAAAGACTGAAGCACGAAACTCGATTTTTGTTTTAACATAAATATATCAAAAAATTTCATGGCTACACAGTTTTATTGCAAAAGAAGTTTATAAGTTCAGAGATTCCATCCAAACCGCTTACGTCACGATAGTATTATAGACATTTATAAATGTGTTTGTATGGAGATATGTATCAGAGCTTTTCAAGCGAGCGCAGATGTGTCGCTCACCTTTGATTAACTCAAAATATGCAAACAAGCTTTTAACATTTACAATCAAATCAGATTAACTAGTTATAATGCCATGTAATCTTTATTGAAGTCCACGAAATATGCCGCCGCAAACGCACAAAGAGAGAATTCCCTGTACGTGCATATGTGTGTGTGTATGCATTGACGGTGTTCTGCATATGTAGAGGAAAAAATCTTACAACAAATGCAAAACAAAAGAAGAAATAACAATTTATATTAAATCAAATATGTGCGGCGGCGGCTTTTAACACCAGCTTCTTAAGAAGACAAGCGTCTTAGGTACACTGGTGACGAAAAGTGACGCCACGACATACCGATTGACTATTGAAAAATTATTAATGCTGATTTATTGACTCATATTAACAAAAGCAATTGAACAGCTGTTATTTTAGATGGCGGAAGAGTAAAAAGGAAATAAATTTAAAGAATTTAAAAGTGATAACTTTTCCAATGATACTTGTTTTTGAATGCTACTTTTTCAAATTATTAATTATTAATATTTATAAAAACTTTTCAAATGTTGTTTAGTAATATTTTATGTGGTATTAATGTTACTTAGATAATCAAAATTATATGATGAGTAATTTTTATACCTTGAATAGGGTATATTAAGTTTGCCACGTAGTTTCTAATTTCCAGAAGAAAACAGCGGAGTCTCAATAATATATATACATACATGTATATACATAAGTAAAAGTGATCATCAATACGCGAACTAGTCGCTCAGTTTTTGAGATTTCAATCTGAAATTTAACACACATTCTCTTCTCCTCAAGAAGCTGCTCTTATGTCGGAACCACCAATTTCGGACATCTAGAGCATATAGATGCCATACAAACTGATCGGTCAAAAGCAAGCCTTTGTATCGAAAACTTTTTTTATTTGACATGTTCACGAAATTTGACACATATTATTTTCCGAGGCAACGCCACAATCACCGAACAAATTTTTCAGATCAGATCACTATAGCCGAGAACTTGATTTGGTTCTTGTATGAAAACTTTTATTTGACACGATATCTTCACGAAATATGTCATGAATTATTGTTCAAGGCAAGGTTACAGTCTCCGAATATATTGTTCGAATCGGACTAGTATAGCATATAGCTGTCATACATACAGAACGATCAAAAACAAGTTCCGGTATGAAACCATTTTTATTTGTGAAGAGTATTTTAGCTTCAGTGCAACCGCACCGTTTCTTCTTGTTAATAAAACAAAATGACAAATGTTGTTGAAAATAGAAGTTTTAAAAATAGAAATAAAAAATTTAAAGATATTCGCTTGATTCTCTTGGAGTTTTTTCTTACACCAACGAATAATAATATTATAATAATTTAAAAAATCCAACTGGCGTTATGAATTTATAATTTTTATTTATAAAATTTTCGACATTCTAGAAATCTTGATATCGCCTCTCCGTTATTGATATCCACTTTAGTGCTGCCGTATTGCTACAACCCATATGCATGTCGATTCCAATTTTTTTTTTCGCATACTTTGAGCTGCGCCAATGCCGATATATTGTGTATAGATATATATATATATTTGTCATTTAGTAGAGTAAAATTTATTTCCCATCAACTACATCAGATTTAATCCACTGAAGCGGCAATTTCTATGCGCATAAATTTAAATTGCAAATACAGTGAACATAGACATAAAAATCAAATCACAAAAAACAACGCATAATAAAATTTTGACCACAACCTAGACTACATATATACATTTAATATATACTATATACGAGCGAAATGCAAATATTTTCAAAGGCAAAACATTTCACATCAATTTCACCGAAATGCGCATAAATAAACTCTACAACAAGTTCGAGTCGAGAAATATTGAGCTATAAAATTGACTTCAGCATTTAAATTGAATAAACCAAGGTGATTGGCTCATGTTGAATGGCATCTTTGAAGTACAAGCGAATTTTTTGTGTAAATTGTATCAAAAATTGTTTTTGTTTTTCAGCTGTTAATACCATTGAGTTGAGTTGTAAGCCATTTTTATTTGCTCTAAAATATCTATATTGCATTGCGCTATAGTATAATGCATTGTTTTATCTATACAAAAAACAATTTAAAACGATATTTTCACTTAATAGTTTTTATCAATTGATTTGCTGGTGGTTTTTATAAATTATTCAATGTTGTTTAGTGTTTT